TTGATTAAAAGTAAATTTGGTTGATTATTTAGGGTAGGCCGTGGGGGTAGTCCGCAGGGTAGTCCGCAGGGTAGTCCGCAGGGTAGTCCGCAGGGTAGTCCGCGGTACTCCATGAGGTAGTCCGCGTAGCGGGGGTCAGTCTCTTCAACTCTCCCCATTTTCGGGGCAAAGGGCGGGTGGTTGTTGAAATGTTTGTCGTCTACTTCGCAATCGGTTATTATTTTCTCGTCGAGCTCGCTGATGAGTTGTAGCTTTTCTTCCAGCACCCCTTTTATGCACTTCTCAAATGAAATCCCGAACCTTCCCCCCCCCCCCATCCCGGGCCAAGGGGGGAGGTGGGGGATTTTTTATGGTATTTGAAGGCACGGTTCGCCCGTGGGGGTGGGGGATTTCTCACGATTTGCTTTACTTAACACATCCATGGAGGCCGGGGAGAGGTGGGGATTGGACTCCTGCCTAGTCTTATCACGGTAATTTCTTCACGTAGTCCCTGGAGTCGCTCGCTGGATTTCGATGAGCTGCGCTTTGCAGATTTGTTCAGGCATCCCGGATTTGAAAGGCAAGTTTCATGATTATTTTTCCTTTTATTTCATCATTTAGATTAATCCTTTGGTATTTTGCCTTGAGCTTTCGTGGTTCATTGGCCGGAAAATGTTGTTTTTTAATCAAAACTTCTCACACAATGCAGATACACGCTTTTCCTCCTCTAGAGTTTATTAAAACCATGTGGCTTCTTAAGTGCTAGATTTCTTCATTCTTTAGGGTCCAAAATATAAAATATGGCCCCTAGGAACTATTTTAAGTTGTCTATTTTGATATAACATCAATTTCCCCACGTTTTGTCTTGCTACACAGGTTCTTACATGATATAAAATAAAAGGTGAAGATAGGGTTGGATATACAGCAGTTTATCATATTTGGCTTTTACTTGAGCTAAATTTGTACGCTAAAGAAGTAGAAAATTTGAACTAAATGGTTATAGTCAGTCAGGGAACAACATTCGTTTCCCCACCAAGGTGGGGGTTTTACCAGTCAATATGCCCCCAGTAGAGTGGGGGTCTCTTAAGATTTGTAACGATGTCAAATCAAATCCCCACCTTGGCCCGGGGTTTTGAATTGATAAGTGCATTATTCTCAATAGTTGGTTTCGCGTATTCAAATCCATTTGCTCAACATCATTGTCCAAAAACGCGTCAGATTCTTCAATGAGTTTCGTGACGACTCCTTAATTTGCCACGCGCTTCACTCGTTATTGTGGAAGGGCATCATCCGTCATCTTAAATTGGTCGAGATTTACTGCCCCACGTTGAGGGCCATCTTATTAACACGTAACTACCGTCGTAAATTTTTGTGTATTCGTTTATTGATTTACCGAAAAAACCTCTCACTCAAATAACATGTGTCGTAATTTGATCATAATATAAGACCGGAAAATCAAGATGAAATCATATACGAGCTGTACAAACAAAACAGAACTCGTGAATAAATGTTACATAACAATCATGAAGCATGACTGTTCGTGACATGTGCACAAAATGTGTCACATACAATGATAGTGTTCCTTTACTTGTATCGTCATGTTGTCCTAATTACCAACTTATACCAAGATTTATAAAGTCAAATAGGGGAAGAGGAAATTAGTGCTGGATTACAAGTGGATTGCAGTTCATCTTATTTCAATCGGATTCAATTCGATTATTTATTCTATCTTCTATAACTGTTATTTCAGTGAATAGATTAGAGTTAGAAGCACATTTCCGTCTGCTGGATACACATCGGCAATATGAGAGCGTATGCTACACATATTTGTTAGGCAACCCTAAAAGCTGGAAAGAGGGAACGGTGGAATGGCGGAAAATGACCCCAAATCCTAAACCACGGAATGGCAGAAAATGACCCAAATCCTTAAACACAGAACGGCAGAAAATGACCCCAAATCCTAAAACACGGAACGGCTGAAAATGACCCCAAATCCTAAAACACGGAACAGTGGAAAATAACCCCAAATTCTAAAACACAGAACGGCGGAAAATGACCCCAAATTCTAAAGCACGGAACGGATGTCAGGGCATGTTGCACGAATTTTGTACAGAGACACTCAAGCGTTTGGCTCATTCATCCTCACGACGACAACGCGTGTGACTAAAAGACAAAGAATTACGCTTCCCTCTCAGGGAGGGCAGTTTAATATGGCGTTCCATTTCCGCCAAAATTCAATGTTTTATTTTACATCGTACTTTCCACAATATTTTTTACATTTTGCATTTGTCATTCGAGTTTGCACTGGCAATTCAACTTCTTTGCATTCAACATTCAACTTTTGTTTATGCAACATTTAAGTTATCACTTTAACATTCAACTTTTTAGAGGCAACAGTGTAGTTTTCGAATTCGACCCTCAAGTTCAGTGGAATCTGCATTCATGTTTTCGCATCCAACATTTAGCATTTGTGCTTTAAGTTTTGGCCTCCGACCTCTGACTTTAAGCATTATTCTAGCAAGTTTTCGCATTAGATATTCAACTTTTCGAATTGGACTTTTACCCGCTGGTCAGTGACTTAAGGAGATCGGGGGCGCGATCCCCCTGAGCCACTCCTGCTCAAAAGGTGGACGATAGGGACGAGAGAATTCCCAGTTGAGCGGACTCGGGAAACTTTTATCCACTCCCCACCAGATCAGACTTCGCCAACAGGTGAAAGATGGCCGAGTTCTTTAGTAGGGCGCTTGTGACTTGTTTGCATCTCTTCAGCAAATTTAGATTACATTTTCCGGAAATTGTATTATCATTCACAAGTGCTGTTAAATTTTGAATCAATTTGTATCATCTTCAAAAATTTGATCCAGCAAATGTCTGATGACAAGGTGTATTTGAATTCAGCTGTCTTGGATATAATCAGTGCTATAGACAGATTTAGGGGATCTGGAAATACTTGTTTAGATTTCCAACCAATAGTTTTCAAGTTGGATTTTCTGCAAAGAGTAGTCTTGACGTAGATGAACTAGTCTCAGAATTGATTGGACATGCTTACAGGATGTTGGTGGAAATCGATAAAAAAAAAAAACAAATTAACTGTGCATATCAAGCTCCACTGCATAATAGAGGGGCACGAGGGAGACCTTCCCACGAAATCAGCGAGGGAACAGCTTCATTTTTTACTTCAACAAGGGTTTAAAGTATGTGACATCAATAAAATTCTTGGGTGAGTGTCAGGACAGTTGAGAGGAGAATGTTAACATTTGGGTTGAGTGTATCAGGTAAATAGTAACATGGATTTTTTACTTTAATGAGAAAATGAACCACTAGAAGGATAATTTTGTATAACTGAAATAATGATAATAATTAGTCCTGGATTGATGCTATAAAAAAGCATTGTTTGATCCTGCAAATACTTATCATGTATTGCCCACCGGTAGTTACAAAAATTTTTTATTTCACTTTCTGGGAATACCTTAAGGTAGTTGTTGCACCAAACAGTTGTGATTAGATTTGCAAATTAAAATTTTCTCCTCCACTCAACTGGGAATTCAGGGGTGGCTCAGGGCGATTGCGCCAACGATCTCCTTCAGTCACTGACCAGCGGGTAAAAGTCCAATTCGGAAAGTCGAATATCGAACCCGAAAACTTGCAAGTACAATGCCCAAAGTCGGAGTTCGGAAGCCAAAACTTAAAGGACAAATGCTAAATGTTGGATGCGAAAACATGAATGTGGATTCCACTGAACTTGAGGGTCGAATTCGAATACTACACTGTTGCCTCTAAAAAGTTGAATGTCGAAAGCGATAACTTAAATGTTGCATAAACAAAAGTTGAATGTTGAATGCAAAAAAGTTGAATCGTCAGTGCAAACTCGAATGACAAACGCAAAATGTAAAAAATCTTGTGGAAAGTACGATGTAAAATAGAACATTGAATTTTGGCGGAAATGGAACGCCATAGTTTAAACACCATAGTGTTGACGATTTGGAATTTGTTGAGGAACAGAAGAAATCTGCTAAAAGAACTGGTGAAATAACCTCTTTTATATCCAGAAAGTTTACTTCTTCCGCTGATGTGTAAGTCTTAAATTTGATAGTATGATGGTGGTGTTTTGGACACATGGTCGCGAAGAAATTCTTTAAATTCTTTTTGACAGTCTTCTTCTGCTAACTTTCTTTTGTCTTTTCACGCTATATGAAATTCCCACATGACCCCCATGCAAACCTTTCTTTCACCTAGTGTTGCTCAAGGCCCAAAACTTGTTCGTAGACAAAGAAATTGAAGCACTCGTAACGAGGGCGTGCTCTCACGCTAGTCTAAGTTTGGAGCTGGGGCTGAATGTCATTATATTTTGAGAAGCCTGAAAACATTCTTGTGATGTTCTCACGCTTGCAAGCATATGATATATTGTTTCATTAAATTAATGCAGACGTGACCAGGAAACGTATCTTACAATTGTTTGTTACCATGTGGTATGTCAAGTTAGTTTCCACATGCTGTGCGACTTTTTAGCCGCGACTAAAACTCATGGCAATTTAGCATAACAAAAGGTGACTAAACAGGTTTGCAACACGAAAACGCAGCTACCTTTCGTGTATTATGGTTCATTATTAGTCATACCACTCAGTAAAAGAAAAAAATTTTAATAACACTTAATTTTTAGTCACGCGCGTTGTTGTCGTGGGGATAAGTGAGCCAAGCGCTTGAGTGTCTTTGTACAAAATTTGTGCAACGTGCCGGACATCCGTTCCGTGTTTTATAATTTGGGGTCATTTCCCGCTGTTCTGTGTTTTAGAATTTGGGTTTATTTTCCACCATTCAGTGTTTTAGGATTTGGGGTCATTTTCGGCCGTTCCATGTTTTAGGATTTGGGGTCATTTTCCGCCGTTCCATGCTTTAAGATTTGGAGTCATTTTCCGCCATTCCGCTGTTCCAGCTTTTAGGGTCTCCCGTTGTTGCAGTTGAAGATTTGAGTGTCAATGTTAATCATTTGCAGATCAAGCTTTCACAAGTTTTTCCACAGGGAAATGATATTTTTCCTCAGTCAGTAGTAGCTCTCATGAAGGAGATGACAAGAAGTGCGACAGTAGCAACATGTTGTGTACATAAGTAATAAAAAAAATTATCCTATCCTTTGACTTGAACCTCAACATTTACCTTTACCAAGATATTTTTCCTGTCAAAACAATGTTTAATAGAGGAACATTACATAAAGCTTTTCTTAAAGTGAAAACATATCAGTTCTGTAATTTGGCTTTAACCCCAATCACGTAATGTTGACAAAAACTTGTAAATGTGAAAGAGCTGCAATTTTACCGAGGTGATGTTTGTTGATTTCATTGTTCTCTGTGCTTGTGAGACAAGCATGTGTAATCACTTTGCCACTGTGTCTGTCAGCTGTTGATATAGTTCTTCTCAGGGAAGGCAGGTCACTCTACATATTGAATAAAAAGAAAAACTTTAAGATTAAGGTCAAAATATTTTAATCCAAAAACTTGAGGAAAGCCTGTGAATTATAGCAAGTTGAATGATGGTATGGTACATTTCTTGGTATTTTGGACTGCGAACCATCTCTTGTCGGAACAGTAATCGTGTTGACCCTGGTGTCCCTGTTAGTATAGAGCTTTCATTAGTGTAACAGTGTGAGTTAGTGCTCCATGTTAAGTTAATGAAAATAGTGATAATGACGATGACAATAGTAAGTTCTCGGTACTATATAAGATATCATAATGATAATTATTGTTATGGAGGCTTATGACATCATATTCTTCCTCTATAAACCAGTGGTTTATTTTCATTAATTCTCCTATACTGACACTGATACAAGTACACATTGTGGAACAAAACATAGCGGGTCTATGCCATTTTACCTTCTTGCTTGTTGACTGTTTTTCTTTTAGTGGCCTGTTCCTATCTGGACCATTTTGGCACTCCAAAAGGTTATGGCCAAGGATGATGAAGGGAATCCCATCAAATTCCAGATGCACTCCCTTGCTTTTCCTGGGCATCTTTCCAGTAAAAGTGATGCCTGATTGAACTACTTTTTGTCGACTCTGCGTTTTCTGTATTTACTGTTGCATTTGATTAGCCTATTAAAATAATTGATATATTGTTTACATAGTGAACTGGAAAATAAAGTTATGCACCTATCCTTGGCTATCCCTGAGGGCAGACCCTGTACAAGGGAGGGGACCCAACTGAAGTTCTTATTTCCCCACGGCTACACTGGAGGAGAGAATCAAAGTTAAGAAAATGCCCGTCTAAGAGGGATAGCATTCTATAAAAGTGGGAAGCCTTGTTCAAATTTGTTGCACAAATTATGTTGGCCTTTACAAGAGCTTTGCTCACCTATGATGAATTTAAGAAAACAATCCCCAAAAGTCTGATCATGTTGACCAAATCAAATTAATTTCTAACCATAAGGAGATGGTTTAGCCCATGTTAATGTGTAGTGGCCTTTTTTACTTATTAACACAACTTAAAGTGACTTCTTTTCTTACTGAGGGTCCCTGAATTTTCTCCAGTGCAAGGCATTTTGAAACAAAACCTGCCTCCTTTCTCCCACCTCTTGGGTAAATATTTGTTTAAGAGCATGTCCACGAGAAAACCAGGCAGAACCTGGCACAAATGCTAACCATCATGAATTAACAAATATGTGAAAATTAAAGATCAAAATATTTAATTCCCTGGGAGATAAAGGGTCTCCCTGGGAAAACCAATTTTCCTGCATTTTTTGCATAATTATTAGCTAACTTTGCCTTGCTGCTGTGACAAACCGAAGTCATCTGCAAATTCAATCAACTGGGTTGTGTTCTACATCTATCAGGCTTCAAGAACTTTGAACTGTTTTAACTTTCTCATTTCATTTCTACCCTTATATCTCCCTTGAGTATAAAGACAACTTTTTCTGGTTTTGACCAAGTCCAAAAATAAGGGTATTTAAAGGCCCAATATCTTCAATGAGCAACCACTTCTGATCATTATTCCTATATGGGCAGTGAAAGCCATCACTGGACTTCCAAAATCAGTAATAAAATTCTGGGGCAACTGATTTCATTACCTGTGCTGATGGGAAATTTACATCTAACTCCCGCTTTTTGGTCTGTATCATCAAAATTCCGAAAACCACAGCTTTGTTTTATTATTATCATTACTATTACTATTATTATTTCTCAGGGTGTTGTTTTAACATGAACGAGGAGAGTCTTGCACTCAATTGGAATCACTTTTTTCAAGAATACCCTTACATTCAATTTTTATCTATTTTATTTTATTTTTTCAAGTCTTGTACCTCTCGCTGGTAGGATCTTAAGGGCCTAGAAAATACTATCAGCTAGAGGTACAGCTTGTATAGTTAGTTGACTTGGCTCAATTTTTACCATGGCTTGCTTAACATTTAACTTCTCTACAATCGAAATTAGGCATGGAAGGTGATGGGGAGATGGGGTTTCAGAGGAGATACCTGAGACCTTCTGTGTGGATCTACCACCACTTATTTGATAGCACAGCTCACAAACTATAAGCATCAAATCTGACTGTATATGGGGAATCAGCTTAGTCTAAAGCACATTTCAAGGTTCACCCTTTGGGAGTGGGCAGTATTGGGCAATAAGTAAAGGATTACTGGTTGCTGTTCAAATAAGAATGCTTTATTCCATTTTAAATGGCAATCAATTTAAAATGAAAAACATAATTATTAGGACAGACACAGGCTAGCTTCATTTATTTAACTGTATAAATTCTAAAGTAAAAGTACATTTTATATTATCAAGAATAACTTACCTGGAGGTTTTTGCACAGTCATACAAGCTGTTACATAGCAATGAAAATTCAAATGAAAAATGTAATTTTGGTGAATTAAAATCATATTATCCTCTCACTATACCTATAGCTAGCTTAGTATTTCAAACAATGTTTGGCCTTGTTATCAATACTTCTAATCAAACACAACTATCATGAAAATAGGGACTATTCCATTCTGAAAAATTCCACACATACTTAGGCAGAATAATACACGACAAACTTCAGTATATCTGGTTGACATGCTCAAGTCTGAAATGAGTTTCAAGTTAAATTCATCTAAAACACGACCAAAGAACATACAGATCAGACTAGTTTAAAATTTGTTTGCCTTAAATTCATTTGAAACATAATATTGTCATGATTTCACGCTTACTTCACATAGGTAGGTAGCACCTCTGGCTGGTAGTATTCTCTAAGTAATCTAAGATCTGAGTAATCCAAGATCCTACTAGCCAGATGAAAAAGATTGCAAGGCACAGGAATATACCTATGGACTCAACAGCTGTCTATGACTAACAACATAGAATGTATAGTAAGGTTATTCATGAGTCAAAAATGGAATAAAATGAGCTGAATTCACCAAACATGTAAGCTCTAGCTTGTAGTATTTGCTACGCCACCCATGATTGGACAGACTAGAGGTACACAACCGGGGGACAAGAAGATGTCCTTGAAAAAAGTGATTCCAGTGTAGTGTAAGACTAAGATGGAATACCACAAAGTGAAATGCAAAGCAAGCCGTGATAAAAATTGGGCAAAGTCGACTAAATATGCAAGCTGTACCTCTAGCCGATAGTATTTTCTGGGTCCCGTGAGATCCTACT